CTCCCCTCCCCTCCCCTCCCCACACCTGGATTACCTCTGAAGATGGCCTTGTCCTTTCCAGGATTACTAATCCTGATTTAGTGAATGAAGTCAACAGTCCTCAAGGAACTTTATGGAAAAATTTTCATTGATTTCAATATGTTCTTCATACCATTAAGTTCTTCACACCACTCAGAAAATCTTCCTTGAAGTCTGAGTGTGAGGACAATAAGTGTTAAAGAGGTTTTGATCAAATCCCTTTCTAAGCTTTTTCCCCAGTTTAGAAATTCTTTTTAAAATCAAACACATGTTGCAATGCAAAAACAAGGCCAAAACTGTCTCAGAATAGAAAATTAAATATGTTTCTTGTTTGTATCATACATTTTTTGGGAAAGAGATGAGCCTCACAGAGAAGAAATAAATTGTCTGAGAAATATAACATATTCAATTCCCTATATTAGTGAGCTGTGGAAATATGTAAAAACAGGACCATTTCAAGTGCCTCCCTGTAAATTTTCATTTTAATTTTGTCAAGTTTTATAGATATATCCTTAAAATTTAGATTTTTGTTATAATTTTTTTTAAATAGGAACTCATCACAAAATCATTGAATATCTGAATTTTTCTATCTGTCTTCTGTAGGTAGACACAAGAGCACAAATACAAATACAAATTTATATGGTGAATTTGGAAGAGAAAATATAATTTTGATAGTTTCTCTGTCTAGCATTATGGAAATAATAGCTACATATATATTTTCCACATCTTCCTTTGCCCCCTGCATGAAAGCATATATGTACATATAAGCAGGGATATTAGTAACAGAGATCAGAAACTTGTTTTTCCTTTTTCAAAGTCCACATATATTTGAGACGTTCATACATTAATACATAAAAAATTATTAGTTATTTTTAAACATACTGTTTGTTACTCACTTAAGTTTTGTGGAAAAGTAATGTGAATATATATTTATTCCAATTTAAAAATACTCACAGCATTGAAAAAAGGAGAGGTGACACTATTTTTGATATAAAAAAATTAATGATGAGTCAATTTTTAAAATAGTCTTTACAGGCTATTCTTTAAGACAAAAATATTAGTAAATTACTCAATTTTAGGCATAGAAAGGGAATATATTACTTTTTAAAATGACAATTGCTACTTCATATTTTTATAGATATATAAATATACCTGTAGCAAAGTAAATATATTTTCTAAGATGTCCCTGAAGATTAAATCAAATCAGGATCTGTGTTTCAGGAAATATAACTGATCTCTGTATTACAGCAGCATGCTGATATACATCCTATTTTTTATTCACGTTCATAAACAAATGAAATAGAATTACTGGAAGACTTGCCTAAATATTTGTCTGAAATGATCCCTGGCTGTTTGGAGAGGTGGATTTGTTAATCTTTTTTTTGGCATTTCAGCCTCAAAGAACTGCTCAAAATGACATCAGATCTCAGATTGCCAGGATAGAAACTAGAGCTACAAAATGATCTATCTCCTGCCCTCATTTACCTACTGAAATTTTCAAATAGATTAAGAACAATATTAAGAAATTGTTGCAAGTTAGTTTTGCATTATTTCAGTTAGCTTCCTAGCTGGTTAGCTAGAATTTTAGTGTTATTTAATTATTAGTTTATTGCCACAAATTTTTTACATACCTAAGTATAAAATGGCAGTAAACACCTTAATGAACATACAGGTGTCTTGTCAGTGAATCAACTCAATATTTCATTTCTCCATTATAAAGTTATATTCCAAAGTACTTGATATCTTCCCTTTCATGAGTTTATTTTGGAGTCAAGTCAGTTTCCTATACATCAAGAACTCTTTTATTAAGTTTATATATAGTTCCTTTGATTGCTGAGGTGTAGAATGCCTACTAAACGTAACACATGATGTGTGGTTTAGGTCATGGTCTTGTAAAAAATACTCTTTGAATCATTTTTGACAGTTTTATAAGCCTTCTTATATCAAAGCCATCAGTGAAGCATGCCTCATTAATTGTGTGAACATCTATTGCCCTTCATGTATACATTTCAAAGTTAGAATTGAGGTTTTTCTTTCCTGCAGTGACATGAAGGAGGTACTTGTCTTTCTAACAAGTGTTTCTCCAAAAGAAAATGATTCATAGCTTTTCCACAGCTTTCTGAGAAGTTACTTACACATCATTTTAAAAAATGCAGTTGACTCATGCAGTTAAGAAGAAAAATTATGAAAAATATTGCCCATCATTCATCTGTTGAAAAAGAAAAGCTGAAGTGCATCCCAGAGTGCAGTACTAACTTTGGAATGTCAGCCCAAAACTCATCCTCCTGTGGGGATAAGACAACATGGCTGTAGATCCCAAAACTGAGAAGCCCTGTTAGGTCCCACTGTGAAGGCTGGAAAGACAGCAGGAGTAGAATAATTCTGTGAATGAAGAATCCACATCACTAAGTATTTGAAAGACCACTATAGCTAGAAAATCAAAGAGCAAGTTGTCTCAGTAGTGATTGCCCATTATGCTCTTTCTTAAGAAATAACTAATAGTTAAAAATATAGTCTAATATAATGCAATGTAATCTAGTATAAATATAGGTGGGATGAGAAAATTGGGAAGAAGAGACTATCAATTTAATCAGGCACTTTTTAAAAGATTTAAAATATATAAAATTATAGATTCATGATGATTTTTCATAAAATATCCAATAGCATAAACCCAGAGGAATAGCTAGTAAACATCTATCACTTTTTAAATGCAACCAAAACCCTCAAATTCCTTTATATTAAAGCAAATTGCATAGGAATAGCAAATAGTGACAAGCAATAATTATTGAATTTCTATATTCATAGAAAACTGGGACTTCATAAATATCAAATAATTTCCTAAACCATATGCAGTGTATGTTAGTTTTCAATAGCTATAAATTCCACAATTATATCCACTTATCCTTTGCTTACTAATCTTTGTCATTATAAATAAATAGAAAAGCTGCAAACATATATTAGAGTTGAAAAAATACTAAAAGCCTACCATTTATTTATAATGAAGGAGTTTAATGGACTATCCTGCGCCCTTTGCTTCTTCAGATAGACACCTCAATCTTTTCCTCATATATTTGAGATAGGACATAACAAAAAAAATCGCCTTTAGTGAAATTGTATGCACTAAATTTCACAATTCTTTTCACATCTCAGATTTAACTGAAACAAATCTTCATATAAAAGCATAAGATAGTCACTATTTCAGTGGAAGTAAAAACATGCAAGTCTGGCTCAAAACAGAAATACTGTTGATATTTCTGAGTAAATATAAGAAAATGTATGTGTTATTTAATGTTAGAGTTAATTAAATAAAAGAGAATCCTAAAATTGTGGGAAATAAAACATAGTTTAACATGTGATGCAGGGTAGAATTTTGCCATTTCTGTACGCTGTTTATTACATCTTTTTCATTAGTATAATAGGTTTACCATGAAAAATGTAATATACGGCTTGAAGACCTTTCCTAACCTTTTATAAATGGATATAGGAGGCTGTGGACATTAATAGCTATTTCATGACTAAATAACCGATAAGAATAAATTTTACACTGAACTTTGATTGGAAGATCTGTCTTCCTCCACGCTTCCAAATATTTACCACCAAACTCAAGCAAACAGACGTCCAGGTGATGTACTGAGAAGGGACCCAAAGTCTGCCTTGCAATGTGCAGTTCTGATCATTTGGAGATATTGACATTCCCTTTTGGAGATTTGACTCCAGTAAAAGACACTGACTCGATCGTAAAAGATGCGACAGGTTTGAATAGTCAAAATTGGGAGGGATAACATCGAGTGCTGAGACCTTTGATACAATTTTCTCTGAATGGAAGGGCCATTATCTATCTCTGGGTCCACTTTGAGATGGGAAATTTCTTAGAAACCAGTATATCTGGGATTTGTCCTTTTTGCAGCAATGGAGATTAATTTATCCTTTAAATAAACCTTGAAAAAGTGTCTGTCTTCATCTAGTAAGAAAATTATTAAATTATTAATTTATATTTTCATTTATTTGTTTGTTTTGGGTTTATGTTTGTTTAGCTTAGGGTTGTGTTTTTTTGTTTTTTTGTTTTGTCATAAATATTTATTTAATTAAATAACATTTCCATTTAGTTTGTGCTTAAAGAAAATTGTCACTTGGCAGAAAATAAGCCTACTGACTCACCAGGGAAGTGCAGAAAGGATTTATGGTGTCTAAATCACACACTATCAGTCAAAAGTTATGAATATGAATGCAGCTTGTAAAATATCAAGTGAAACTTAGGAAGTAAATGCATATTGAAGGTTAGTGGAGTCAAAGGCTAGCATTATCAAAACAGATGTTTAGAACTGATTTTTCTTTTTAAGATTCTAGCAGTGTAAATATTTTTTATACCTGTAAATTATATGGTTGTAGTGTCTTATTACTCAAAGGAAGGACTGACAGATGTAATAAAACACTAAATCAAGAAATCTTTCTGTTAGGACAATTTTACACTCACAGTGAATGCTGGCTTGACATTGTCCCAGGAATTTTTTTCAGGCTAAAAAATATTATTCAAGTAAGGAATGTTTTTTATAAAATGCCCCCATCTTTTACCAAGATGATTCAAACTAGGAAAACAAGAAGATTGGTGTTGAGAATACAGAAAAAGTATTGCTTTGAACACTGATTTTTTTCTATCATATTCTTTTTCTGATACTTCCAAGTTTCCAGCTATTGAGCAACGTCCAGTTATCCTGGTTTACCCCAACATGTTAGCTTGTTTAGTGCATAGAATAAAAGTCTAGAGTTGTATTAAATTTGATGGAAAAAACAGGTACTTTTGAGAGAAAATAGCTTTAGCTCCATCATGAGAAACAGGAAAAAAAAGATGTTCTTCCTTTAAATCAATGGCTCAATTTGTATATTTTAAATCTATGGATATATTTTAAACACCTAATGAGGTTGGACTGTCTCATGGAAAGGAAGGTTAAGTTTATGAATCAAAATCCTTCAATTTGGTCCTTCAAGGGCTTCACAAACTCTTGGCCCATTGAGCTCATAAAAAACAAACAGGGCAATCTTAATCGACAAAGGGTTATTCTACATTTAATTAGAAACCTGAGTTTTCTGAAGTTGGATTAATGGAAAAATAGGAGACAAAGTTATTGATCAGCCAGCAGGTAAGTGCTCCCATGGCCATGTAATGAACACATCAAAACTTTAACACTGGTCTCTTAAAGTCTTCAATAGTATCTGCAGGTCAGCTTTCAATGACTAATTCAAAGTGAAGGTGCTCAATTGCATATGGATATATTAAAATGTATTCAGATGAAAAATACATCTGAACTACAAGGATATGGACATGTTGCAGAAGGGCAAGAAGCTAACTCAGATGAATACTATATTCTTTGTAAATTATTCACTCAAACGTGATCAATATGAAATAGCATTGCAACTGCCAATGTGCCAATATCCCACAAGTCATGGAAGAAATATTTGACTTGAGGTGGGTAGTGGCAAGTGAATATTTGATTTTGACTTCTTGCAGTTACTAAAAAAAGAAGGTATTGATCAAAGATAGCTAGTTCAAGTAAATTTTAGAAAAGGAAAACAGTTTTCTTTGTGTTTGCCTAAAAAATGCTTTATATTTCTTCTGCAATTATTAAATGGTATCTTGTTATTGAACAGAAAATCAGAAATGCCAAAACTGAAGTGGGCTATTGGAAAAGGATTTAGAAAAACAATTACATCTTTAGTTTTTCTCCTCCACAAAATTATGCATTACACAAATTTGTTGAAGTCCCATAAGCTTAAAGAGATTAAGCTTTCCCGTTGTTTCCACTACACTAACAACTCTGATAATAATGTGCCTAATGTTAATAATATGCCTAATGCTGCAGCAGATCAGATTGGGATTTTTCATTACTTGTACGACATACTACACTTTCCAGAAGAGTTGCTTTTCATAACCATTATGTCATGTACTCTCCTTAATTTGCTTGGGGGACTCAGCTTTCTACCATTAAAATAAAATTCACTATTTGACTGAGAATCTGCACTTTGAGCTAAAACAGATGGAGCCTGTTCTACCACCCATGAGTGTCTTTCTCCCCATCTAGAATAGCATGCAAAGCTTATGTGATGCTCAAAAGATCATTTGACTGGCTGCATTTATCCTTCAAGTTTGGTAAAGACACTTACAAGAAAACATTATCATTCCTAGTTTCAGTCCTGAAACTAACCGCTTTCCATCTCTTCAGGCCCTATAAAAAAGCAAAATCAGAGATCAGATAAATATTGTTTCCAGTCCACTATCCCGTCTTCAGATGCAGTTACATACAAGCTCATAAATGCGACAGAAGCAATTATGAGATTTCAAAACAGTCATCCATTCTTTGATATGGTAGCTCTTGAAAGCTGTGTTTTTGGATAAAACAATATTTGAAAACATACAAATCTGTCTTGGACATGCAGGTGTGTTTTTTTTTTTAAAGATTGCAAATCTCACAAGGGGTAGATTTTACAGCCACCTATTTAGACAATCTGATGGAGGAAATTTCACCTTGGTGCTGAGTTCAGCCTCATGTTTGGCTAGGTTCAGGAGCACTGCATGAAAATATTTAATGGACTGGCAACCACTGATATAAGTCGGGACTACTTCCTAGTCATGGTGAAACCAAGGGAATTTGAGGTTTTCATTATTTTGCAGTGCCAAGATACTGATTTGCAGATAATGGCAACAGAGGAAATATAGCAATTTTTTTGTCATACTTAAATTCCTGGCTTCATAACAAAATGGTTAAATTATATAAGATCTAAATAGAAGTCAGATGACTAATCTATTGTGTGTTTTGTTTTCTGCATTACATTCTTACTCCCCTATTTTTGTTATATGTGCTTAGAATATGTATTACTTACAGTTCTCTAGAACTATTAACTTTTGACTTCCAGTTGCTGGAATTTTATCTTCAGCTTTTAATATTTAAATAAGGCAGACCAATTTTAAAATATCTGTCCTAATAATATCTATCTAATCTGTGAGAACAATGACCTTGACCAATAATAGCAGCTTGGATATTCAGAATCTGTGTGGAATTCTGATATAATTGTATTTAAATCTGAGGATTTTCTCAGTCTTCTTTTGCTTTAGCTCTATACTATCCTCCATGTATCTGTGATTATGTCTAGTTGATTCAAATTTACTATGAAGTTGTTTTATTTTATCTACAGTACTTGTCTGTAAGAGACTAATAATATTTAAGACTGAGTATTTTCTATAAAATGTAGGTAGAAAACACAGGTATAGTTTAAACACATAAATATGAAACTAGAGTTTGTGTGTCTCATTGGTATGGGCACATCAGCTTCTTTCTACTTACCTGGACGACTTAACCATATATAACCCCTTTCTCTGCAAATTTACAGTCAGACAGGGAAGGGAAGGGAAGGGAAGGGAAGGGAAGGGAAGGGAAGGGAAGGGAAGGGAA